TATTAACAAATGCTGTCCTGTTTGTTATATGACTATTTTACTAAAAAAATTTCCATGTCAGGTTATGGTTTGTAGATCTAACCTAGCAGAAATGAAAACAAACTTTAAAGCATGCTTGTCGTAGGTGGCGAACTGACAGCTGGCTCTGGTGCAGAGATGATGTTTACAATTAAGAGCAGAAAGCCAGGCAGCTCGGTTGCTAAGGGTCTTTGGAGCTGACCTCTCTTTTTTTGTTATTTTAGGAATTCTCCTACTTTCAAATCATTTGAGGAGAGGGTTGAGACAACTGTCACAAGCCTTAAGGTACAGATGAAGTGAATTTTGTGTCATGGGGTCCCGTGAATCAGGACAGCTTAGTCATTGTGGTGGTTAATTCTGAAGGCGGGACCTCCAGCATTCGGTGCAGCCAGGAAGAAAGCCTTGCACAGAGTCTGTCTTTTTCTTCACATATAAATCTGTCAGTAAAACCAGTATTGGAGAGTGTTGCTGGATCCTCACAGAGTTGTTCCCGCAAACCATTCGGGGGTGATGACTTGTGAACATGAATGGGGATTTGTGTTCACATCTTTGCCGGTTAGAACTCTCTAGTGCTGTCCCCTCCAAAACTGGTATGTGAGAGAGGATTGCGGGTAGGATCGAGGGTATGTGAATTCTGAATTTAGAAGTTAATGAAGGGTCTCCAACAGCTCATAGCCTCTCTGGTTTGCACATGGACTAGCAAAAACGAACTTGGCCCCCTGTGTTACACTGCCTTCCCCCTCCTGTCAGCTACCCAGACTTGTTTACTCCATTCCCAGACTGAGCACAGCACAGCACAGCATGATGATCACGGAGGGAAAATCAAACTGAGTCACAACGAGCATTCCTTTGTAATAACGCATTTGATCCCCAGCTTTAAACTGAAAATATGCCTGTGTCATGGGAGGTGTTAAAAAAAATTTCATTGACTTTATCATTTGAGTGTAGATGAGTTCATCTACAGAGGAAGAAAGCACAAATAAAATCAGTCTAGTCTCAAAATGAGACTTTCAAAACAGGAAAAATCATTGAAATGACTATGTTTTTAAAGATACCAGCTAAACAGTGATTTAAATAGTCTTGATATTCTTATCGCTATTTAGTAGACAGTCCATTTCTGTATTTCCCTATCTGGGAAAATGAAGAATGCAGGGGATCTTTAAGCAGATCAAAGCAGGCATGTGCACATGCTGATCATCCAGCTGCTTCTGAATCCTCTGCCACCATGTGCTGCCTGATCCGTCTGTGAGGTTGTAAGGTATTCCTCACTAGAGCTCCTGCATGCTCTGATTGTGACTTGGAGAGTCTTTCCTTTTAGGGGAGGCTCTTTCACACAGTCTCCTACTTCTGCTTTATCGGGCCTGGGATTAGATGTTTAAGGCCCAAGAATGAGATTATTACTCAGCATTTCCCAGGCCTTGCTTTCACTTACCAGCACTTTGTAGTCGTGCGATTCCATGACCCTGCTTGTCAACATCATTGCTTATTGAGTATCTGGGGACCCGTAGGAGCCATTGAATTGCCCCGGTGTGTAGGGAAAGCTTTGATAAGGAGGGGCGTGCAGTGCCTGGAACATTTCTATTGCTAGAATATCAGGTTTCAAAACTAAGGGTTCAGAAAATCCTAGGAGTTAATTCCTCAGCATTTGGTTCCCAGCCTTAGACAGTGGAAGGAGGATGGATTCTGTTGCTTGTTAGACCAGTTCTGACATAGGAGAAGTTGTACTTTTTAGGTTTTCTTTAGAAGAAGGAGATACGAAGAAGCAAAAGAAGAATAAAGAGCAACCTATTTCCCTTTGCTTTTAGGAAGCTCTGGTAAGCTCACAGCTCACATATGATTTAAGTGTTTGATCCACACTCTGAGCTTCTCACTTCTCTCACTTCACTGGGATGGAAGGTGTAGAGCCTGCTTCCTCCTTTAGACATGCACAAAACTAACTCAGCTGGCCAGATCCTAGCCTGTGTCAAGACTTCCTGAAAGTGGGTTCCATGTCTTAATGATTGTCCCTGGGGTTTAACAAGACTCACATCCCACCCACCTCCTGTGTCACAGCTGATGCCTACTTCCTCTTTTTCTGCCCACCCAGGCAGTGGAGAATAAATAGCTAATAACTGTGCTTTGTGTAAAACTTCCCACTCACTCAGTCATTGCAAATTCCTCATTCTTTTTTTTTCCTCCAGGCTAAATAATAGATGTTTAACCCTTCTTTATGTAGTTATTTGCCACATAGTTCTGTGTTCTAAATTTTCTCCAAAATTTCTATAACGGTCTTCAATTATGGATCCCGGGGCTGTTTCCGGCTGACTCACAAATCAGTAAGGATGAATCAGTAAGGAAATGCCTCGCAGGTCTCTGTGCTACGGTTCTCCTCACACATACTGCTTTAAGCTTGATTTCTAAAACATCGCTCAAACGGAATCCTGTTCATATTTGTGTTATATGAGAAATAATGTTCTGCTGGGAGAGGAGGTCCGTTCTTACCATCTGTCACACACACCATGTGGCATTTATACTGATTGTTCTTCCTTTATACCCAGTTCTGTAACAGCTTGGTTTTCCATGTCATCACCATTATATAAAATTTAGTCCTGTTTGCCTAGATCCTTGGAATACATCACTCTCTCACCTGATGACATCTCAGCTGGTTTCACCTATACACTCGATGAGCGCACTTTCTCTTTCCTCTAAAACAAGCAAGCAAGCACAGCTCTGGGATGAAACCGTATTGTTATGTTCCACCATGTTCCACCATGTTCCACCAGGGAATCATGAACAACTGCATCCCTTCCAACCATTCTGATCATTTAACCTTCCAGTCATTCTTCGAACCATGTCAAGCGGACCATATTTTTAGTGCTCCTCTTTTTGATGAATACTTTGCATGGCTTTATTTAAAACCTTAAGAAGAAGACAAGATATACTTATTACTTCTTTGTGTCTTCTCAACCGGCCATATTATTATGAGAGATTAGGCGGCCCAACTCAATAATTCAAATAGAATTTTATGCAAACAACAATCATAGTTTTGGGGATAAAGTGACAAATGCTTGGATGAAGAGCCATTATGAAGGAAAGGGTCCAGGAGAGTTTTATTGTTCACATCTTTGCTGAAGCAACTCCTCACCTAAATAATTGCTGTGTACAGTCATTCAACACACATGGTTAGGAAATCCCTTTATTCCACTCAACCGTCTTGGTTAGAAAACCCCTTCATTGCACTCCCTTTTTTTGCCAAATTGCTTTATTTTAAAACGATTCCCACCTTTATTTTTCTATTTTGATTTGAGGAAAATCAAGAACTAGGAGAAGAGAAAGTAACAAAGCCCAAAAGAAAACATCAGTAATTGGTATTCACTTGACTCAAAACTGTGTGTGACTTCTGTTGCAAAACAGAATGCAGATACAATAAAGAGGAGAATGGAACTCTTAATAGAGTAGATTACGTTGAATTAATCTTGTTTCTCTCCAGAAAGAAATAAACATAGTGAAAAATCACATAGTTGAAAGCAACCCCTGCTTCTTCCCAGTGCTGAGATGACACAGAGTCGGGGAGGAATCAGTGCTCAGTGCCAGAGGTCTGCAAATTAAGGCCTGTGGGCTAAATCCAGCTGGTTGCCTATTTTTGAATGGCCTGTAAGCTAAGAGTGGTTTTTATATTTTTTAATGGTTGAAAAAAATCAAAGGAAGAATGCTATTTTGTGACGTGTTAAAATTAAATTACATGAAATCCACATTTCAGTGTCCATACACAGTCTTCTGTAAACACAGCCATGCTCATTCACTTATGTGTTGCTTTTGGCTGCTTTGTACAATGGTTGATTTGAGTATTTGTGACAGTGACTACGTGATTCCTAAGCTTAAAATATGTGTTATCAGTCACTTTCCAGAATGAGTTTCCTGACCCCAAGCAGAGTGGAAAATTTCACTTAGGAATTGAATTTAAAGAGGCAGAGAAGGATTTTAGTGACAACTGGAGAAAAGTGTATGCTTGTTTTGGAATGTTAGACTGGTTTTAAAACCTGGTTACCTTTTGTAAAGGGCAGACCAGGCAGTGAGTGGATACATCCCCCAGCATGGCTTATGTTCCTCTGAGTGATCACTTTGGTGTCAGTGAGGAGTAGACAGCATTTTGGGAATAGCAACATTTTCTATTCTGTACCTTTCTTTTCCTCAACATGTTTTTCCATATTGTTAGTGGTTAAAGGAAAACCAGTGCGACAATTAATAAGACTTGCATTAAACATTAAATATTCTTTTGAAGGACTTTTTAATATGGAATTTTTCAAAACATTTTACCCATATTTCTTAATATATTTCTTATTAATTGATTTCTTCCTGATTTTGTTCTTATTACCAATAACAAGTACACAAAAAGGGGGCCTCCTAAAGCATCAGAACTTTGCATTTCAAGAGATAGCCCTTCTTGAGGGGCAGCTGCCTAGAAAGATGTGAAGTGGCCAGTGCTTAAGATCTGAGTCCTGTCTGCCTCTCAGAACAGAGACCAGAAAGCATGTTCAGTGGAGCTGCTCAGCCTTTTCAAAAGCCATTTGTCAGGGATCCAGGTAGCCTTTCTAAGTCCCAGTAGGAAGCCTAAATTGGAGTCACTTAAAGGTGTTTATACACTTTTTAAGTTGAGGGAATTTATCTAAAATCCAGTTCTGTTCCGATTACATCTGTTCTCAGGGCGATGTGTAGACAAATCCACAGATCTGGATATGCTCCTGAAGGGGTTGAGATTTTTAGATGTCAGAAGGGATAAAGAGAGCACTGCTAAAATTGTACAGAATTGAAGTTTTGGATCCTCTCCCAGATCCCAAGTACGAATGGCATTCTAGCACTCTGCTAAAGGAAACTAACTTCTCCACGCCCTTTACGTTCCCTTTCAAGAAAAAAACTATTTCTGAACTCGAGAGTAGTCCGTCTTTACACCAACATTGCAGACCTGGTGAACTAACTGTACGTTTGCATCTCTGCCCTTTCAGACGAAAGTAGGCGGGGCGAACCACGGCGGAGGCAGCTTCGAAGAGGTGCTCAGCTCCACTGCGCACGCCAGCGCGCAGAGCTCGGGGGGCGGGCCCCGGCGGGCCGAGGAGGAGGAGCTGCATTGCTAGGGCCGCCCCCTGCAGCCTCCCCGCGCCCCGGCCCGCCCAGCGGACCAAAATCCCGCTGGGAAAAACCCAGGCCTTGACCTTGTTCTTCAAATGGCGTCTCCGCGGAGTTTAATAAAATGATTTCCATTTTGTATTTGTGTTAATGATGGACCACGTGACCATCACATTCAGTATTCGTAGATTGTCATAATTTAAAATGTCCCCACTTGAGCAGGTACAAAATTGATCATAACCCTTGTCTTTGTGTAATTCAGCGTATATTTTCCAAACTCGTAGCTATTAATGATCGGCTTTGGTTCTCGCTTGGACTCCTTTATGATGTGCATGTCTTTGAAGGCTGAGAGTGAACACCCCCTTCCAGGTAGGTCAGGTGGGCGGGATAGAGTTTTTTCTGACCCTCTCCAGCAACAGGATGGGTTCACTGCAAATTTCATCAAACTGCTTGTGATCCCCTTCACTTGCATCAATTATGTATGTTTGTTTAAGCAATTAAAATAATTGGTTTTAATGAAGACTTTGAATTCTTAATTTCTTTACGTCTTCAGGGGCAGGTAATGACTTTAAAAGATGGTAGCTATGAATCTGCAGATGCTATTTTTTTTTTTATAAGATTTTATTAGCATGAGCAGCGGGGAGAGGCAGAAGGAGAGGGAGAAACAGACTCCCCTCTGAACAGGGAGCCCGAAGCGAGGCGGGGGCTCCCGCCATTCTGCAATGCTATTTTAAATCAACGTCTACTGCTAATTTGGTGACCACAAGAGGATGTGTAAGTAATTATAACCTCAGCGACCCTACCAATTCTAAAATTCTCTCTAATCCACCTAGAGTAGCAAACTCAGGTAAGGGAGACCTGAAAGGGGGTGGCCAGAAAATAGAAACAGTTCTGCTTCCCCTTCTATTTTGCAAATTGCTCACATGAGTGAAAAAAGCATCATATTAATACAATCAGGTTTCTGCAGGAGTTTTTACCTTCCACATCATATGCTACTCTTTTCTTCTAAATGGGACCTATACGTTTGTTACTAGGTAGCAGACACACATCCTATAGATGCAATTTTTAAGTGAACACAGAATTGACCTATTAACTTAAAGCACAGTTTAATATATATATTATTCATACAATATATGTAATTTGTTATTCATTATTCATACAATATATGTAATTTGTTATTCATTGTTTAATTTACTTAGAAATATATATGTATTTTTTATTATTTTTTGATGTAGTGTTCCATGATTCATTGTTTGCGTATAACACCCAGTGCTCCATGCAGTATGTGCCCTCCTTAATACCCATCATCAGGCTAACCCAACCCCCCACCCCCCTCCCCTCTAGAACCCTCAGTTTGTTTCTCAGAGTCCATAGTCTCTCATGGTTCGTCTCCCCCTACGATTTCCCCCCCTTCATTTTGGGAAATATATATATTTCTACATAAAATATATATATAATATATATATATATACATATGTATACATCAAATCAAAACATATATGGCATAGTGAAATAAAGCCAGTCTGAAAAAGTCTATTCAAATTAATGGAGCAGGACAATCCACACATCTAACTGAAAATCAAGCTAGTTCAAAGCCATGTAATCTCAGGCTTGCAATCTCAGCAGAGATAGGTATGGGGCTATAATCTTGAACCAGCGTGGACAATGAAGCCCTGCCAGTAGGATCACTGGCATTCTCCCTAACTTAACCTTCCAGCATGTTGGTTGAAGCCAAACCCTGTCCAGCTGGCTTGTAATTTGTTCACCCACCGCTGCCTGTGGCTGTCAATCTCTGTGCTCAATTTGCAGTTGCCTGGTGTGTTTGAAATGGTCACCTTTTATAAACTCACTTCTTGACTGCATTCTTTTTGACTGCACTCAGCAAACTGCACCGTATTAGAAAAAGCAGAGTTACGGTGCTATACACAAATATCTTCATTCACCAACCGATTTCTGCACAGGTAAGTCTCAGCCTTACGTACGACCTGAAAACATAGTATTAACAGTGACTAGAAAAACAATCAAGATAATTAGTGTGCATGTCTCAAAGCTTCAAGTACATTTTAGCCTCTTATTTTAAACCATTCTTCAAAACTTTGGATTTCATCAGTTTTATAAAAACTGTATTCATGTCAGCTCTGTTAATTTAAAGTTTTTTATGATTATTATTCACTCTGATCTAGGAGTGGGATAAGAGACCATGACACGAGTAGTCTTTCCTTTCGTCAAACGATATGTGAAGAAGTCACATTACTGGAGCGCCAGGGTGGCTCAGTCGTTAAGCGTCTGCCTTGGCCTCAGGTCATGATCTCAGGGTCCTGGGATCGAGCCCCGCATAGGGCTCCCTGCTCCGCAGGAAGCCTGCTTCTCCCTCTCCCACTCCCCCTGCTTGTGTTCCCTCTCTCGCTGTCTTTGTCAAAAAAATAAATCTTTAAAAAAAAAAAAAGTCACATTACTCCAGTCGTTGGTAGGTGGGTAGCCAGCATAGACGTTTCATTTTCTCACTGCCTAATCACTCAAGAGCTGCCAGCTTCTCCCTTACTTTTTGCCTGCGCAAGCTCCTCCTGACTTGACTTAGTTTTACCGAGTTTCCCTATTATGTCCAGCGGGGCTCAGTTCACACACAGTAGTAGTTTCTCCACAAGTGCTAAAAGGTATTTGCAAGCCATGGGCTTAACCATTTACTAAAAAAATCAAAATGACTTCAGGTCAACACCATGTATACAAAATTATATCACAATCCCCCAAAATTAATATCACAACCCCGATAACTTCGAATTCCAATGTGAATTGTGATTACAAAATAAACTGGCTTTTTTTAAGTAAGCAGTTCTGTAATGTAACTATTTGCTACTTTTTAAATACCATTGCTTGATGGAAAATACTCATAAACTTACGCTACAACTTTATCTTACAACTCACATCTCATGAAGACTATGTTGGTAAGTCATGTCAGCAAAGCAAACTGCCTCTTACTCTGAATTACATACACATTTTCTTACAAAGCTGTTCTTGAACCATAGAAAACAAAACAAACTGCATGCTTTATTACAGAACGTCTTGACAAACCACGCCATTCACAGTGGTCAACGTGAAGAAAATACTGGAAGTCTAACCTGCGGCTCTGTCACTGTTCATTGTTCCAGAGTTACCTGTTGGGGCTTGAAAGCTGTTGCACTTGACTGCAAAATGGTGCATAAGGTGGTTGTGAACTTGAACCGCAACACCCCTCTCACTTAGTATCAAATTGGAGTGTGGGCGGGTGCGGGGGAAGGGCAGTGGCCCTAGGGTGAAAAAGTGATTTCAACATGAAATGTAAAAAAAAATGACTTCAAACCTGGTGTTCAGATATAATTTCAAACTATAATATTTGGCAACATCTTACGGTTGCTTGATAATCTCTAAGAATGGTAGAATTCTTTATTCTACATGTCTACCTGACTTTTAGTTCATACCATATAGAGTACATACCAAGGCAATCCAAAAATAAGATACTCATAAGTCTCCCACAGGAATCATCCCAACCCCAGTTTGAATATGAAGACTGGCAAACTACTTAAATAAAACTGCTGGGTACAGAGGATGCTTTTCCACCCGGCACTTCATCAGTCATTTATCACAGAGCACGTATCACCAGCAGACAGAGATGAACAGGGTGGACATTCTGTTAGAATTGACGTTTTTCGAATAGAAGGGCACTGAGACTTACGTAACAGCTGGTGATATGCCAGTCCACAAGGCGGAAACAAGGAACTGTTTTTGAAAAAAAAAAAAAAAAACACCACCACCACACCAAGCACCCCCCCCGCAGCAGCGGCCCCCCCACCATCCTCCGCAGCACCCCCGCCCCACCACACCACCCCTGAGGAGGGGAGTAGCCCCTCATCACAACAAGGTAACAAAGCATTCTTTGTTGAGTTCAACCCAATAATGTTTTGCACCACATCATAATTATAGGGTTTGTTATTCAGAAGATAAATTCCAGGCAAGTAGCAGGTATCTTCCAGGAGAAAACAAAAATTTTTTAAGTGATAATGGTCAAATATTTGTAGACTTGGCTGGTGAATTCGATAGCTTTTTCTATTGATTCTTTTTCTATTGATCTTCACTGTGTTATTAAATAGTATTTATAGCACCATTACATTTTCTTTCTCTTCTTAAACCTATTACCCCAGTAAGGAAGATTTAGAACTAAGTGTGAACTTGGTAGGTAGATGGAAAATGGAGATGATGACCAGTAGGTGACCAGTAGTATTAAGTCTGGCCCAGTAGAGGCTCCCTAGTCTATGAATTTATGAAAATTACACCAGGCAAAACATCCCACGTAAAGCTTCAGGGCCACAGAAAATCTTCTGGTTATAAATATTTGAATTTTTATCTGTAATTATTTTATGGGTATATGTTCATGCCAGGAGAAAAAAAAATCCAAAATTCTGATATGATGCAACAGTATGTTGAAGCCAAGCAGCATTGCTCTTTTCAGTGCAGAGTAGCTATTATGTACACGTGTGTTGCTTCTGAAGAGATCATGCACTTTGCTTCCGGCAGATTAGGTATCCATGGATACTGCCGAGAGTTTCCAAAGAAACGCTGCCTAGAATATTCTCACCACGCCAGACTAGCAGGCCCTCACATGGAAACTGACACTTGAATTAAAGGGACAGGCGGCATTGCTTCACACCGAAATACTGGGCAGGTTTGCATGGATAGTCTTCTTTGCCTCACCATGCAGTGGCTGTGCATCATTTAAAGGCAAGCAGGGTAGGTTACTTATCCAATGAAAGGAAATGAGGGGAAGAAACCAGGTCTGTGTTTCCTACATAAGGTGCAGCGACCCCAGTAAATACTCTTCTGATTACAGATTTCTTACCTGGTGATCAATGTTCTTATAAATTAAGGTCTGAATATTTATACATCAGACAGGGAAAAATTACACAGAGGCAGACAAGTGGCATTTGACATTGTGTGCCTGAATTTACCCCAAATGACTAAATGGATTACGGGGAGAGGCAGAACCTGTTAACAGGTTTACAAGTCTGTGACCAAGGGCCTAAAACAGGTCACAATGAAATGAACAATGACTCCACAGAGTGATCATCTGAACAAGGCAGCATTTCATAAATGCATTGTGATACATTCTTTTCCTTGGATCCTTATCACTAAGTCAGCTGAAGAATCTGTTCTTAAAAGTCATCATAACTTAATTTTCCATCATTCCATGAATCGGGCCTTCAGGGTTGTGGGTTATTAGTTTAGTTTAGAATAAAATGATTTAAAATCTCCAATAAATATGCCAAAGCTTAAGGTTTCAAAAATTTATTTATTTAGTTCATACAAAGCTCCCCCCACTGCCCCCAGCCTTCATCCAGGGCATTTTCAGGACCACATCCTGTTCCTTAGCTTCTTTTATTATCCAGATTCTATCACACGTTTCTTACCGGAGTTCAGGCAATGGAAAATAAACAGACTCACATCCGGGGAATCAACACAGCAACAGTGGCAAAATACAACACCACGAAAGGGCAAAACACAATGTCTGTTACAGGAGTGAAGCAACAGAGGACTCGTCAGGAGCTCGGCTCACTGGTGGGAGCTGCTATGTTGGCGTTTCTTTCTGCCTCAAGTTCAGAAACAAGCTGGACTATCTCAGGGTGACTGAATTTTCCTGCAAGGCAAGAAAACCGGGAAAAAGATACTGACAAGAGAATCCATCAATGTCTCCAGCTTGATCCCAGGTTTGTCGGGGCTCGACTCTGAGATTCACTCCAACGCAGAAGAACACAACTCCAGGTCCTGGGGAGGGGACCACTTGGAGATCATGCTCCGTCACCCCAGATGCCACCGAGCACTAGGGATGAGGATTGGACAAAGAACTGTCCCATTAGGCAGAGCTAGGGGAGACCGCACCAGGCAGCCTCTGAATGTTTCTACCGGGAACCACAAAGAAACTCAGGACAGCACCCAGGGAACTGAAAGCAATCCTTGCCTGTTCGGAAACTGCAAAGGACGGGGGAACCAAGCACCTACATACAGAAAGACTAGTAGGAAGGCAGAAGGCCTAGGCTGTCCCAGGATGCAAATGTGCCTCTTGCAAACACTTCTACACCAAACCCCACTGATCTGTGCTGTCTTCCCTGCTCATCAGCCCTTCCAGATTGCTGCCCTGGGCAGCAACCAACGTACAAGCTATCTTAGGTTCAAAGTGGCCAGCACATGGGAATATTACACCCACCATCCTTCCCTGCGTTTTCGTTTTTTGGTTTTTGTTTTTGTTTTGCCAGTGCCTTTTGTTTTTTACTGTTCATTCCACATTTAACTCTGTTCCATTTATTCCCTGTTCTCAACCTCTTCTTTGAACGTTCCCTTCACTTTCTTGCCCTGATGTCTGGCTCGTCCTGAGGCTATGGCTTTCCCTGCAGCCTTGTCACACAGTGGCCGCTTCCTCTCTCACATGGCTTTTGTCACTGGGCCTGAGTCTGCCCTCTATGTTCCCCTTGCCTCCAGGCCACTCTCTGCCCCACCGTGTAAAGCTCATGCTGTCAGACTATTACCGCCATTCCACCAAAATGGCTCTTATTGAGGACACACAAATTAGCTCCACATTGCTGAATCTGATGGCTCCTCCTTCCCTCTTGAAACGCTTTCTTCCCTTCGCTTTTGGGACCCCTGATTTTCTCCTCTGAAACCTATTTTTCCCCCATCTTCCCCATCTAGTGGCAACTCCATTCTTCTATAGCTGCTCAGACCAAAATCCTTGGACTTCTCTCATAAACACCACCACACAAATCTTGTCGACCTTTATATTCAGAATATATCCAGAATCTGACCACTCCTTCCTTTTTCTACCACTACCACCTGGCTCAAACCACGAGAAGACTGCAGTAGCCCCCAGTCAGTCTCCTTGCTTCCAGCCCAAGTGACCCTTTCAAAACATAAGTCAGATCGTCCTGTAGGCCTCCTTCTCCAAGGGTCCCCATCTCGCTCAGAGCCCACACCAACCACCTCTACTGGCCAGTGGGCGGGCCTCAGCCCACTTCTCTGGCCTCACCTGCAACCCTCTCCTCTCCTCTCATCCACCCCGACAAGCCACACTGGCCTCCACGCTGTTCCTCGACACACAGAGTTTCAAAAAGAAAAGAGAAAAAGCCTTAAGTGGTGACTGAATTAGAGAAATAAAAATGTGTTATCAAACTAAAGCCTTTATGTCCCCTTCAAAATCCTCATAAGAGGGGCACCCGGCTCTCAGTCAGCAGAGCATGCAACTCTTGATCTCAGGGTCACGAGTTCGAGCCCCATGCTGGGGGTACAGAGTACTAAAAAGAAAAATCCTCATAAGGGTCACAATGTACATCTTCACCTCTCCCTAACTAAACTTGTTTTTTCAAGCATTATTGGGGTAAGTAAGAGACCACTCTTTACATAAGTTACATTATTTACAATTATTAATTTTTTAATAGAGTAGTGCATCAGAGTGGAAAGTAAAGTGAATTTTAATCTCAAAACTCAGCTGAGGACGCACCATCCTCTTTCTCAGCTCCAGTGTCTTCCTCAATAAAATGTGGAGTTTAAACCAGATGACCCTCCTACCTCCCATTTTTTGATTCTACTAGGAGTCTCATGTTTCATTTTCTATTTTTCACTGTGAATGTATCAAAATAAGAAATGATAGTGTTAAAATGCAAAGCACCACACAAACATGACTTTTAGTTACATTATTGGCAAAATATGCTATCTTGGAACCCAGTCATTGCTTAGAATAGGCTTGCAAACCTTTTCCATAAAGAGTAACACAGTAAATACTTTAGCCTTTGTGAACTATGTGGTCTCTGTTGCCAACTACTCAATTCTACTCAATTCTGCTGCTATGGTATAAAAGCAGTAGAGACAATACATAGAGAATGAGTGTGGCTAAGCAGGGTCCGGCCTGGTTATACTTGGATGGGAGTGTGGCTGTTTCCATAAAACTTTATTTATATGAACAAGCAACAGTGCAAACTTGGCCCATGAGCCATAGTTTGCTGATCCCTAGTTTAGACTGCTATTCCATTTAACTGAAGTCAAACATTTCTGAGCACCACCTCTAACAAAAACAGATGAGACAAACCTGGTCTTGGCCCTCAAACAGAACACTATGGGGTAGAGTGAGCAACTGGGGGTTTGGGAAGAGACCCAACAAGAAACATCACTAAAGAGAACGCAAGTCAGACTGTCACAACACTGTGGAAAGCTCTAGACCAAATGCAGATTGAGCAAAAGGAAGGGAACACCTAAATCTGACAGGGATCAGAAAAGGAAACCAGGGAAAGGAGTGGCCTCAGACCGCACAGCTGTTGAGCACAGAAGTTTTAAAAATGAAGATGTGATAATACCTATGTCTACAAAGAAGGGAAACACTGAGTCCTGCAGGATGAGCTCGTGAGCCTGGCTGGCGGAGTTAGGAAGTAATGACAAGAATCCAATACAGAAATAACGAGGGCCTTGTCTGACGCAGAGGAAGCGGGGCTGGAAAAGAGGGAAGGAGAGTCGAATCAACCTCCTGATGATGCACATCATATCCTGGAGCACAGCCTGTGAGCTGGGAGCCACGTGACATCCCAAAAAGTCCCGGACGGGCAATCTCTAGCAGTGCTCTCAGGGGAGATGGGGGCCAAGCTGAGCCTGAGGAACTCCGGGGGACGAGAGACAGAGCTGTGCTCCAGGGAAGCGCCACGAACCCCAGCCAGTTCTCCTACAGGCTCTGAGCTTCACCAGAAATTGTATCACAATGAAGACAGTGAAGGCTTATTGCCCGGTATTATCCTAAGCACTTCACGCGAACTAATCTACTAGATCTTGAAATACCCCTATAAAGTAGATTCTATAATTATCCTTAAAGATTTTTTTTTTAAAGTAATCTCTATACCCAACATGGGGCTCAAACTTACAACCCTGAGATCAAGAGTTGCTCGCTCCACCGACTGAGACAGACAGGTGTCCCTATAATTATCCTTATTTTAATAATACGGAAACTAAGGTCCAGAGCTAGGTTAAGTAATCTGCTGGAGGTTACATGGGTTATATGGGGCAGAACTGGAACCAGCTGAACTCCAGGTCCGTGTCATGAAGCACTATAATGACAATGGCAACTTCAACGGTTTGGGGTTTTCTACTTTCAACATCTCTTTTTCTACCTCCATCTTCTATGGCTTTACTTCTATAGAGCACTTCCAGATTATAATGCACTTTCACAGACATTCTCTCTTTTGAATCTCAAAACCCACCTCTGACTCAAGGAGGGTAAACTTTATGCTTTCTGTTTCTCGGGGAGGGCAGAGAGAGGCCAGGACAGGCACTGCCCGGGGCACAGAGCCAGATGTGACTGTGAACCTGGCTTGCCGCTCAGAGCAAAGGGTGGCAGTGCTCTCACGCGCCAGGCTGCCCCCCACCAGGAAGCCCACCACTTCCCTGTGGAAGGAAGTGTCATTAGAAGGTAACGACAGCGGATCCCACTAATGCGACGCCAGTCACTATGCTAGGAGTAAGCCCAACTAAAACGGTGTTTACTGAGGACAGCACGGAGTACCTGCTGTGGAATCATAGAAGTCCTGCAGCCTCCCAGGTTTGCTCTCCAGGTTCTCATACTCGGAGGCCTGAAGAATCATCTCACATTGGTCCAGCTGCTTCACAAACCTGGCTTCTGCACTTGACTGGGTCTCATACTCCTAAGGATGAAAGCAGCACCATGAGAATCAGACTTGCAGCTAAAAGCATATTTTGTACTGGCCACCCCTCCCGACCATGCACAAGCCCCTCACAGAGCCACGGCCTCCGAAACTTCACCCCTTACTCTCAGCACTCCGGGCAAGAAGGGAGTGCTGGCCAATCTGCATATTCTGCCAGATGCCTCCAAAGTCTCTTCTGTTCACATCGATGCTCCAGGCCTTCTTCTCCCCGACTGGTACTGTGTCTTCAGGATCATTATTCTTTCATCCACCGCACTGGTGGAGCTCTTTTTAACTTCAAGTTAATATTTCATCGCATGCTTCTCAAATTATTTCCCTCCCCACTTAAAAACGATCAAGCTTCCTTTCCAAGGGCATTTCTAGCTTTCTTATTGAATTTTGGCTGTCCCTTTACAATGGAAATCTCTGTCCTTGCTTTCCAAACAGGTCCCCCCGGGGTGTGACTCCGGAGGACATGGGCAGGATCTGCAGGTTCTTCGTGCAATGGCACGTGCGTGCGCATGTACTGGTGACAAGGTGGTGCTGAAGGCAGTGGATGGGGAGCGGCATTTTTGTCTCTCCTCTGCCTTCTGGTCTTGCCCTCCTCAGTGCAAACCTGAAACAAGCAGCTCCGGGAGGGCTGCTTCGTAGAGCATGACACATGTCACACAACCCCAAGTCCCAATTAATACTATATAGAATCGTTTTTCTATTAAGACCAAAGTGTTCCCAACTGGTTTCCCTGCAAAGTGCTCATTTGTAATTCCACCCCAGATGTGCCTGGATAATGAACCTGTCATGCTTTCTTGGCAGGGTGATGTGATGTGACTCACTTAAGGTTTCTCGGTTTTTATTAGATGCCTTATTCTTATAAAGGCAGCTATTTGGATTTTGATAGAGCTGAAAACTGTACAGGGAAATCATTTTAATATGAAACCAAATACATTTTATTTCAAAGGCATTTAAAAATAATTCTTTATTTAAATGCTTATTCACATTTATAATTATATATTTATATTTAATGATTCAAGTTCATTATTCAACAAAAAAGAAGTCGAATATACTCAAGGCATGGCAGTTCAGGATTTTTCTCTATTGAAAGTAAGAAAAAAAGATTTCAAGACCATTAGGAAATGACCACCCACTGTATAACAAATTCTGGTGAAATTACATGTTTCTTTTAAAAATATAAATTGTTGGGTTTTTCCTCAAAAAGTAATGGTACAGGCATTTCCCAATTTCATTTTCCAGCAATGAGGCAGGGCAAGGAGAACAGTGAGGCCAAGAAAGCTCTAGAAGTAGGAAGACACCATGGCATCTTTGGGGAACTTACTGCAGGCAGTTTCTCATGACAGGATGCAGAATTAATTGCAGGAGGAAGAGAAGAGGCTGAAGGGGGGAGGAAGGGTCAGCTCCTGAAAGGCCTTGTGGTTTGCGATAGAGGAGTTTCAGCTTATCCTGTAGCTACTGGACATCACTGAAAGGGTTCAGGCCAGAAGGGTCATGATCAAACATTTTAGAAAGATCATCTTACCCTCAGTGTGGAAAATGGCTAGACTGGAGGCAGAGAAATCAGGCTCTGAGACTGGGTAACACCAGCAGAACAGCTAGGAGAATCTGGTCTGGCCTAATCTCGTGGCAACAAAGATGGGACAAGTGGGCAGATTTGAGAAATACTAAGGACGAAGAAGTGGACGAAAGGAAAAGCTGAAAATGACTTCTTAGTTTCTGGCATGGGTAACTCAAGAGGGAGCAAAGGGGAGAAACAGACCCAAAAAACTGACAGAGCAAAGAAACAGCAAAACCAAAACCTAATGAATATTTGTAACAAAACTACGGAACATAACATTACCATCAATCACAAAATATACGTTAAGTGGGGACAAATCACTTCCAGCCATGAGCCCTGCTTTCCATCAGCAAGAGCAACAGGGCATCTGATGGACCTGAGACTAGGAGAACCTCAGCTCCAGGAGCAGCTCACGCAAGCCCAGCCCTGGTGAATTCACCAGCCTGACCTGCTGGGGCTCCCTCCAGACCGGGGCCCCATAGAGAGAGAAACTGCTGGGGGTGGAATCAAAAGTGAGTGGCGTAAGGATAAGAAGAAGAAGAACAAGTCCAGATAAAAGTGGGGAAAGAGAACAAAGCCAGGGGATCTCTGAACGCAGGCCACCATATATTAAAACAAAACAAAACAGAGCAGATGAGGAAGCTCTGTGAAGTTCTAAAAAGTTATCGGGGGGCGCCTGGGACAGCTGAAACCCGACTCTCGATTTCAGCCCAGGTCACTCCTCAGGGTCGTGTGGTCGAGCCCCGCAGCCCGTCCGGGTTCTGCACTCAGTGGGGAGTCTGCCCGAGATGCCCTCTCTCCCTCTCCCTCTGCCCCTTTCTCCCCTCTCAAATTGATAAATACACCCCCTTTTTTTTTTTTTAAGTTATCTGAACCAAGTTTCCTTCCGAAAGTTTGGGAAAACTAATTGTGTATCAAAATAAGCAACAGGAAAAGCACAGAGATGAGACCCCATACCAGCCTACCAGACGATAAAGAGAGCAAGGAGCAAAATGACATCTCTACAGACAATTCACATCAGAGAGACATCCTTAATTCTTTTTTTAAAGGATCAAATCTATAAGAAACTACTTCAAAAAGAACTAAAAGATGCTAAGAAAATGTCAAGACATGAAAGAACCATATAAAAAACATTAGAGATAAAGGAAAAAGTCATTTTTGCAGTGAAGCCTAAGCAAATAGAAACACAGGGATATTTAAACATGATAAATAAAACCTTAAGAGAAATAGAAATTGAAAAGGAAGTTAGGTTTAAAAGTCAAAAAGAAATGAAGAGCATGTAAAGGATCTGCGGGAAGGTGACAAATATTAAAGACAGGCAAAGAAGAACCAACATTACAGGAACATTACAGGTATATAGGTGTTTTGGAGGAAAAAAGGAAACCAAAGTAAAAGAAAAACTATATTCAAAAAATTTTTCTTGAAATTAATCTTTTTTAATTTGAAAGTACATATTGAAAACACACTAAGTAGCTAAGAATATTAACCCAGAAGGACCAACACCAAGACACATTCAAATAAAAGTACCATATATATTTTTAAAAAAATCCTTTGGACACCTATGCAGAAACAGCATTGGACGTATAAGGAAAATAAAATTATTATTAGACTTTGCTTTATGACCAAAGAGAATGGGAGTAATGTAATGTAATGGTAATGCAACCATCTAGGTAGAGTCCAAGCATAAAAATACAGGAAGAACGGAGACATCACAGGCAAGACAACATTTTAAACTGTTTTCAGTAATCAGAACTGATGATGGTGGTACATCCAACTGTTACTCTGAGACAGGTACATGTGCAGAGAAGGAGAAAGCCTATCTAATGAGGATTCCTTGTGTGGAAGAAAGGGTCATACAGAAGAGGTTAGGACATAACCATACGAGAGGTTAAGTGAAAACCGTGCAGTACTGTATTTGAATTGGAAATATCACCATGAACCCACGAGGCATACACACATATATATCCTACCTCTGTCCGTTAAAAAGCATAAAAACAATAACCAACTCAGTAGCAGCAAGCACGCCACTGCACATATTGTGGTCTTGAAATAACACTACCTATTGAAACAAAAAACACAAAACAGGAGGTCTGGCTGAAGCATGTTTGAGATGAATGAGGCTGGATGACCCTGCCATTCCTGCTATCAAGGAAGTGACCAAAGTCAAGTTTCTACCCCACCTTTCCTATATGAACTGCAACCAAAGAGGAGATGTGGAAGAAGCCTCTGCTAATACAATTATTTCAGCTACTAAATGAAAACAAGACAAAAACATTAGTGTATTACAATTCTCAACGCATCAAGAAAACCCAGACATTATGTGCCTCAGGATAAAGAATCCAACACCATCTATGGTTGTGCCAAAAAGATCCAACGTGAGTCTGTCTGATCCAGCCTCTGGATTCAGAGGCCAATCTGCAGAAAATAAAACAGAGGAACAGAACTGCATCATGAGTGTGCAAAACCCAGAGTATGGAAAACTCTGTAAGCCAAATGGTCTGGATTCTTCAACAGACAATTTGCAAGAAAGAGAAAGAGATGGGGTGGGGTCAGAGGGGAGGGGCAACTGTAGATTAAAGGAGATTTAAGAGATATATTAAAGCTTTAAAAAAAATGGACAGGATTAAACTACAATTTGGAGGATGACCGCTTGGGTGATAAATCCGTGAAGAAATTCGGGTGATCCCTGTGAAAATCAGGGCAGTGGTTACCGTTGGAGGGAGTGGTTGGGCTTGGTCTGGGCACAAGAAAGGGCTTCTAGAGGGGAGTGGCACAGTTCCAAATCTTTTTTTTTTTTTAAGATTTTATTCATTTATTTGACAATGAGAAAGAAAGCACAGCAGGGGGAGCAGCAGAGGGAGAAGCAGGCTTCCCGCGGAGCTAGGGAGCCTGACACGGGGCTCGATCCCAGGACCCCGGGATCATGACCCGAGCCGAAAGCAGACGCTTAATGACGGACCCACCCAGGCGCCCCGGCACAGTTCCAAGTCTTGATGTAGGTGGTAGTTACAAGGATGTTATCCTTCCAGTAATTCATTATGCTATACACAGGTGTTTGTGTCCTTTTCTGTGTTTGGCTTTTCAATAAAATGGTTTTAAAAATAATGAAAATGACTGCAGAAAATGAGGATGCCATGAACCGGCTGAGCAGGATATTTAGGTGGAGCTGCCCATTAGGCTGCTGGATTTGTAAGTCTGGAGCTTAGGAAGAAGATTTTCGGGAGAACACTCGGAATAATCAAGATGTGACCACTGAAGCCTGGGAGGAGTGTGTAGAAAGGAGAAGGCCAAGGAGACAGCCTTGGGAAAGGACCACCGGCTCTGACCAAGTCGGCCAAGGAAGAGGAACACCTGAACAAACTCAGAAAGAAGAGCCCGGAAGGTACAAAAGAAAATCAGGAGGGAGCAACGTCACAGACCCGAGGGAGGA